TCAAGTTTAATGAATGATATTGACAAAATCTCGTTTCGTAAAAGAATAATAGTTCAATGAATATGAATAAAAAATACTTAGAGTTTCGCCTAGCCTATACTTTCTCTATTTAATTTACCTAATATTATTACATTCTTTATACTAAAATTTATATAAAATCGAAATAAAATAGAAAATAAATACCTTGCAGTTTCGATGAAGTACGTGATCTATTTAAAATTACCTAGATTCATGGTTATAAGAGATTAAATCACAAAATTTTGGTTCAGTTTTAACAACTCGTGTGTATCATGTGGCAGTGGCTTAACACATTTAATTGACTTGGATTTCTTGATGCACAATTCATTTCCATTACACAATGATCTTGCGGTTTACAACCTAAAAATCACAGGATCCGTAAACTTTTTTTTACCATGGCTAGGATTTTATAATCATGCAACGGACCCCTTCTATTATCATAACCACACGAAAAGCAGTACTAATTTTCTTGAGTAGGACATCGGCTCTAGGATTATTTTTAATTCTAACGGCTTGTTGATTAGTATTCTTTTCAAATTTTCTATTTCTGATATACATCTAATAGCTTTTTGGAATTCCAACTTGACACGTTTATAAGCTAGGTATGTCATTTCTTTATTGTTTTGAGATAATGAGATATACACATCTCTACAATATATTCCTGGAAATAACAAGAATGAAAATATCATTTTGAAATCCAAAATCTCAAAATCCAATTTAAATGTAAATACTCCATTTGAATTTGTGAAATCAGGACAAATTCAATGGAGTATTTTTATTTAAATTGGATTTTGAGATATTGGATTTCAAAATGATATTTTCATTTTTGTTATTTCCAGTAATATACTGTAGGGGGATAAAAGATGGCGAAGTTTAAACTATGTTATTTTTAATTAGAATTTAAACTAACTATTTTTATAATTATTTTGATAGGACAAATATCATCAATTCTTTTGATTTGTGGTTCCATAAATAATTTTGATTTTTTTTATTTCAAAGAAGATACCCCTTCTTTGGAGGAATATTATGTGGTTTTATTGGATTTCCACATTCATCGATTAAATCTTTAACAAAGATTTATTGGTGACGTTTTCAGGGATATTTGACGATATAAATCCTTAATCGATTACCTTGTGAAAGTAATCGTGATAACTTTTCTTAGTTATCGGTCCAAAGACTTATCAGACCTAAAATGAGAGTCCTTTGTTTTCTGATGAATCAATCAGTGATTATCTTACTGCTTTGGTTATTTCGGCACAAAGGATTTTTGGTTATAGGGGTATATATAACCATTAATTCCCAAATAACCATCTTTTTCTAAAAAACCTAATATTTTTTTGGATCGTGGTGCATACGTTACAAATTTCAGTCTTATAAAACGGGAATTAATTACGTAATGATACACACACGAGTTCGTCGCACATAGAATTTGAATCACTATATACCGATACATATACATGGGTCCCGTAACTGTTCAACGACAACGATTATCGTTTGTTTATCATTTAACGTTATTATTAATATCACTAGCGCTAGCATTTGACATTAAGCTTGGAAAGAAGAAATATAGTTTTTCAAGCAAAAATACTTTGGAAATAAATATAAAAAATAGCTTGTTCTGTACGTATAATTATTGATAAAAAATATGATATTTATGCAAAATATTAAATTATAAATTAACAAGTGAAAAACGTCCAGTTTTTCTATGATAAATTTTTATACTATTAAAATATGATCTAGATAGTAAAATATTTTTGTTTGACACTTTATCGCCGGGTATAGAAATTTCAAATTGTTTGAGACCTTGTTGCTTTCTCAAGCAAGCAAATTTGATTAATTCTTCAAGATGCTCATCTGCAAACTCATGGCAATAACAAAAATTCAAAAATTTTAATTTCAAATCTTTCCCATTTAAAACTTTCAAAAACAAATTAAGTGAATTTGTGCTGAACTTCCAATTGCAACGAATGTCAAGTCGTTTAATAGTCCTGGGTATCGCTTCGCCAAATAGTTACATATATTGCTCGACATTCATTGTTTTATCGATATCGTTAACGTTAATAAATATTTGATCGAATGTTATATTTTCAAGATTACTCGATTTGACAAAATTTATCATATTTTGCAAACAATCTTCAGCCAAGTTTATTTTAAATGTAATGAGTTTGGAACAATGTTGTATTAAGCAATCAGTTAAATCTGTAAAAGCTGATGTGACTTGTAGTTCATAAAGGCTTTTTTGCCTGCATTTTCAAGAATTGTTGTCATTTGAGAAATACATAAAGACGAATCCGGCAAAATTAATTTTCTTAATTTTTTACTTGTTGATAATTTTTCGAAATGCATATTATTTTTTATTATGCAGGATTTAATAAATAAAGATTCAAGTTTTGATAATAACTGAATTCAATGTTGATTAAATTTAAATGTTGTATTGACAAAAAAGGATTTGCGCTTTGTCGAGAGTATTCAATGCTGGCTATTCTTGAAGAAATAGAATAATGATAGTTTCTGATTTTCGTCAAGTCTATATTTGTAATTCCATTTAGTAAACTTTTATTCCAGCATTGCTTATGTTAAGCAATGAGAATGTCATTAAATCCTGTTGTTGCCATAAGAGTCGAGCACCTGATTCCACCCTTGTGCTGGGTATTGATAAATGGAGCAAATTATAATATCAATGAATTTAAAAATATAGTAATTCATTTTTTGCTAAATGTTTAGAACTGCAAAATTCATGAAAGATGACGATGATATTCTAACTACTTATTGTGGTTCACCGGTAAATTTTGTTTCTTACAACTTCGATCATCTTAGTATATCATCAATATAATAGTAATTTAACGTTAATACATATGATTCTTGTAATGGCACCAGAAATTTTAAATCGAGTTGGATATAATAAATCTGTGGATCATTGGAGCATCGGGTATTTTAAATGAGCCCTTTTTTTTTTAGTAATTCTTATAATTTTCTTAATTAATAAATTGCATTGACCTCATTTATTACATTCATTTGTAATGGCGTTTTTAGTTATTCCATAATATTGACCAGTTCTTTTAACGTTAAGAGCAGTCTGAATCTATTTTTTAAAAAATTTGATTGATCAGAAAACAAAAAAACTTTCACTCAAGCATGCATGTTACTAAATGTTGATCAGCTATGCTTTATGCGAATGGGAATTAAATCCTCAATTTAATTTTCTCAAATGAATATAGATTACGTCTCGTAATGAGGATCGATTTGCCACAACCGAGGAAAGAAATGGCTTACGCGTAGAGTTTCACAATCGCTATTGGAGAAACATTTCATCAGATGGTATTATTATCCAACATATTCTTCTCTTTTGCGCTATTCAAAACTTAATCA